AACTAAATATCCAAATTCTTGTTTTGATAATCCTATTAGAAAACAGAGCCGTCAATGTTTTTAATTGAAGAAAATCAAAGAAGTGTGGCAATATTTAAATGAACACGGATTAATATTTGAATGTCAGTGGTTAATATCTAACGCTCGATAGTGAAATTGGTCTTTCGACTTAAGGTTATCATAGTTTCTTATATGAGGGTTGTGGATGATCAATTGAGAATTTGTCACTCTTAGGTAGTAAGAGATTATGATCTACATTTCATTTGGTTAAGTTGATAACGAAATCATTGGTTAAACTAAACTCATAAGTCGAAAAAGAGTTTTCGACTTATATTGACTTAATAGTGGAATGAAAAATATGATCGATAATCGAGATTGACACATATTCATATCTTTTAATTGATTTGATTATATTGATGAAGGGATTATAGTTTTACGGTAAACGAACGAGTTTGATTTTGTTATACTGCATGACATTTTTCGTCATATATATTTCCTGACACATTGCTAGATATCAATCTGAGATGACAAATGTGAATTGATGATAAATTAAAAAGGGCATTTTAATTTATCGATTTTGATTAAATCAAAATAATAATTCACGTCGTTAGACATTGTGATTGAGAATTTATTGAGTCACACAAAATGAGAGCTCTCCACTTGGAGATAGCGAAATCTCCCCAACCTCAAGGGAAACTAAACAGGAACAAGGGAGATTCGTCGAAGAAGAGTGATTTTCACTTGCCTCAGATTTCCTTCTTCTCCATTTCTTGTTTCTTTGTGGCTTGTACACTATAATGTTTTTTTCATATATTGTTGTCTTTAATTACGCTCTTGCGAATTGAACTTTGATATTTCGTCTATTACATAACAACCATTTCACCATTATATTTCTGTACAACAAAAAATGTTACCGATAAACGTTATAAAGTCAAAGGATCAAATCAATGGTAAAATAAATATTAAATTTTATTTGAGCGAGGACAACTTAAGATTTTAACTGCAGGTTCTTAGTGTAAGCCAACTAATTCTAAGTTTGTTTAGATAAATTTTATATTTCTCCGATTATTTTGGCAAGTTAGATATGCAATTTTCAAAATATTGATTTTGACAAATGTTTCCATGAACAACATCTACCTGATTTATCAGTTGGTAAGTCGTAACTACAAGACAAGAACTAAGCCGTCAAACGCCAGCCAAGTCAATGTAATGCAGAGACGAATTTGGGGGGGCTAGGCTGGGTTGTAGTCCCACCTCCCCACCCCTGGCCACTCAGGTCCAAGAGCATTTTTTTTTTTGGTAAAAGATCAGTTTTTTATATATAAATTTTTTTTTTCGCGTAATAGTCTGGTTTGAAATTTTGTAGCCCAGTCTTGGATTCAATTCTGGATCCGTCTCTGATATAATGTCCTTATACCTTTTCAATCTCACTACCTTTGATTTGAATTAATGGAATGAAGGCACGTGCAAGAGCAAATAAAAGTCCCTATTTGGCCCTTCGCCCTCATACATTAACCTCATGCAGACCTAAAACTCTAGTTTTTGGTTATGAAATATCAAATCATAGAAGCAAAGAGAGTCCTTAAATTCTTAATAAGGAAGTGAAAATCGAGCAACCTAGCTTCTTAAGGTGCTTTAGTTGGAAGCCAGCTGCATGAAGATGATTTGATAGATCAACTATCTATTTCGTAGCGTGCTAATATGGATACTCTTTTTTTATGAGCGAAACTCTACTTAGATCTATGGATCTCCCTCGTATCAAAGCTCTACTACATTCAATCTATCACTTTTTATGTGACGCCTTCTTGCTATGACTAGCTAGTTTAATGAACTCTCTAATTTTAGCCAATCATGCTATAAGTACATAAAGTTTTACATTAAATTTGACATCATTTTACATAAAATCCATCATAGCCATTGATTTTTACAATACCCTTTTATAGCACTGGCCAGATTTTTGACACGTAGGAAGGATGTCAACAAGAATGTACAAGTAACTTAATTGAATTTTAGCTGCTGATCAGAAGTCCCATTTTACACAAAAATGCTCATGTTTCTTCAATCAGTCATGTTAAAAAAAATTGTTCTCCTGTAATCTTAAAAATTGTTATAATTTGGGTGTGGCCCGAATTCTATGTTAAAGAAAATTAAGAGTTCTAATTAAAGTGTACATTAATAAGAATTATATCTAGAATGCTTTTGGAATCATATTCGAATTCTATTTGACAAATTCTAGTTGTAGTTCCATTTGAAAGCCTCATTGGGAGTTTTGAAATTTGTGTCGGACTTAAACATATCAAGATAAGAAAATTTTTGGGCATTATATTTCATCTTCAACTCTACTTTTAGAGCTTAGATTGTTTCCTATATATATTTGACTTTTCTCTACATTTTAGTTATGTGATTTAAACTCATTACAAGTTAGACAAATTATAAATACAAAATCTTTGTATTCTTTCTCCATATTATAATGAAATCTCCATTATCTATAAATTATTTTGCTCTTATTGTTCATGTGATCAATTACTTCATACTGTGGCTTAATTTCTTATTTTATCCAACAATTTGATATTGGATTAATCCAATATTACCTTTTGCTTTTTCACAACAAATTGGTATCAAATCGTTCTACTTTCAATAAAATGGTTTCAAATCTGTTTTGCATTTTAACAACTTGTATCAGAGCTCAGGCTTAATTCATAGGGAGATTTTATTTTTGGGATGGCAACCGTAATGTTTGATGTTCCGCTATTGGATTGCTATACATGATTTTCTTTGTGGCAGGTTAGAAGGCGAGCGGTGCTCACTTATATGGGATTGATTCTATTGTGTTTTTTATCCGTTTCATACTTGTTATTTAAATATAAGATCTTATATAGTTGTGGTCTCATTATTAAAGAAGTCTACGACGCTCTATTTTCAAATGAGAAGATGAAGCATATTGTTAAGATTCATGAAGTTGACCTAGTTCTTGATGGTAATTGTGCGACGGGGCAAATTAAGGTCGAACTTCCAAATTTATTGCAAGAATTCGGGGCACTTAATTAAGGATTGCTATAAGTTGTTTAATAAAGAAAATTTAGTTGCAACTTTTTTGAAGAGAAAACAAATAGAAACCTCAAGAGAAACAAGTATTGCAGAAAATCCTAGCAATGATGGAGAGTTTTTATTCATGTCTGACTATAACTCCAAGTTTGATTAGGCTTGGATTTTGGATACAGCTTGCACCAATCGGAAATTGTTTTCAACATATGATGAAGTTACAAAGGCATTGTAATGACCAATAATAATACACTTTATCGGATGGTATTAGTTGAGTCAGAATAAAGATGTTTGATGGAACGGTTAGAACACTTGATATAGTGAGACACGTTTCAAATATGAAGAAAAATATTATCTCCTTAATTACTCTTGATATAAAAGAGTACATCACACTATTGAAAGTAGAGTCCTAAATGTTATGAAAGGAGCTCGTGTTGAGCTAATGGGACCTAGAAAATCCCATTTAAATATCTTGTAGGTTAATACGGAATATTCTAGTAGCCGGTATATTTTAAGAACTCAGGTAGACTTAGTTGGCTTTTGTACCAATGGAGTCCAATTTGGGATCTTCTTTTAAGAATACGTCTCAGTTGAATTTTGAAGATACGGGTAAATCCGTCTTGCCATCATTATTGATAGTGTCGTCGTATTGAATTGCTAGAAATATACCCATTTTTTGCCATAAGATTCCACATACGTATAATTCTACTGATTTTGTTGATGCTTTGAATGTGATTAAGGGTGTTGATTCTAGCCAAGATCCTTCTTTTAATGCATTCAATTGTCGTGATTCTAGTACAGGACTTGTTGGTGATTAATAATCACATTTGATTTTGTTGTTTGTGATTGAAGCAAATTTGATGTCCAGGGTGTTTCTTGGAATTGTATTAATACTAAATTATTGAGTTTTGGTCTAGATGGGGTAGCAAATGTGGAGAATATTTCTAGTTGAAATTATTGATGGAGAAGTTCGTTTGTGTCTTTCATTGAAGAGTTCAAATTTATTCTTTGCAGTGGAATTTGTCTCCCGATGTAAAATTTTG